GCTCCCCGCGCCGCCCCGGACAGCGCCGAGGGCAGAGCCCGGCCTGGCGTGGGCCCGACCGCAGAGCTGACACTTACCGGAAAGTCAGCTGAGAAGGAGCTATTACTCACCGACGGAAACTTTCTTCTGCCTTTGCTTTCTTTCAATGAAAGATGCGTTTTCCCCTTCGAACCTCAGTACCTCATTTTGCTGTGCGTGAATGAATCCACCCCTCAGCCTTATCAAATGGTATATACTTGTTCAGTTTCATCCAGCACTGTTGCTAATCCAGAATCTGGCAAAATCTTGGAGCTAAAAAGAGCACTGAAAAGCTGGAGTGTGTTGTTTAGGCATCATTTCCTAGAATAATATAAACTCGCCTTTCCTTTAGGAGTTACTGCCCTCTATTTTGCGGTACTATGGATTGAACTCAGGGCCTTCCACACACAGTTACATCCTCAGCACCTTACACTGCCCAGGTGGGGCTGGAACGAACTTGGGATCCTCCTGCCTAAGCTTCCCAGACTGCTGGGATTACAGGGCTGTCGCACCATACCCTACTGCGAAGGAGTGTTCTTTCTCGTGGAATGTTAAAGTCCTGTGGAACTTGTCACATCTGGGGGGAGAAATAGTTCACTCCTGATCTGAACCCCTGTCTTGACATTTGATACTCTTCTCCCAGTGTTTTCTTAGTTTTTTGAAATCCTGACAAGCAGTGATTTGGCAGTAGGAAGGACATGCTTTTACTGTCTCTATCAGTTCCTTTGTTTAACAGTAAAGACATCTGTGTCTTAATTTACTTGTGGTACTTCTTTTATCAGACCTAAAGGAACTGATTACCTCACGACTCATTGTGTTTCTGTCAAAGTTCCTCAAGTGGACCTTACTTTGCCCGTGATTTGCTTTGAAGTTTACAAGTAAGACAAAATATTTTCTGAATCGACAGTGGCTTCTGGTAGTTATAGTTCAGTTTTTGAGAAATAGGAGATGTGTTCTAGGATTTTTATTTAATGGTGTTAAGCACCGAGAGACTAGATCATTTTTAGTATCATATCAACTATTCAGAAGTTTGAAGTGAAACTGTAGACATAGAATTTATTGTGATTAATGCCTAGATGTTATTGAATCATTATATTTGAATGTCAGTTGACGATTGAGTTTCTTAACCTTGGCATTGTTGACATTTGTGACCAGATAATTTGTTGTTGGGGCAGCCCCAAGCATTGTAGGCAGTCCCTCACATCTCTTTCTTCCTATTGTGACGACCAAAAATTTCCAAAGTTACCAACTGTCACCTTCGGACACAATTGCCCCTGGTTGAGAACCACTGTGTTAAATGCATCCATTCTTTAATAGGAAAGTTGGAAGTGTTTCTCTGCGGTAACTTTCTTCTCTTCAGTAGACTTATACGGAGTTGAGTAGATGCCAGTATTAAAGTAGGGACAGGAAAACAGGTTAATAAGGTCTGGGTCTTCCCATTTAGAACTATGATGCTCTGTAGCACAGCAAAGAGTGCCCTGGGAGCACATTGTGGGTGCAATCAGGAAATTCTTCAGCGGGGAAGACATTTACAGCCCAAGAGGGAAAATGGCAGGGGGAGGGACTGGTAAATGCAAAGGTGTGGAGTCATAAAAGGTGCAAGTGATTTTAGGAAGTGAGATGATATCCAGAGATTTGTGGGAAATGAGGCTGCCCTGGTAGCTGGAGACTTAATTAGGACAAGATCTAGAGTTTCTTTGAAGGACTTCAACTTTTATCTTGTGATGAGTTGGGCCGGGGATTTAGCTCAGTGGTTCCACTGCCTGCCTTGCAAGCACAAGGACCCAAGTTTGATTCCCAGTACCAAAAAAAAAGCAAAAAATCAGACCTATCTTGTGATGAGTCAGTGTTAATGCTCCATTTAATGGGTACATTTTGTTAAAAGTCTTAAAGAAATCTTGTGATTTGCTTTACTAGTTTAGAAACTAGAGTATATATTTTATTAACTATTGGAGGTATATACTAACAAGTGTTTAACCATTTAATTAGTACTATTTTACTATTTTTCATTGTTAGAAGTTTATTACCATATTAACAAGTATTTAACCAGTTTATTTATTTTATCCCATCCATTCTACCTTCTCCTCCTCTTCTCCTTCATTACTTTACTAAAAGAAAGATGCCACTCTGAGGCTTGAAAAGGTCCGGGAAAGCAACAACTGTAGTGAGGTAGCACCAGTATATGTGGATCGAATATTTTGCTTAATACTTTTTTGAAGAAAAACTTGAAATTAAAAAGTTTGATGGTCAGAAAAATTATCAGCATTTAGTACCTTAGCTGGTTTGTAAACTTTGTCAGTATTTGTTTCTGAAAGAACTATTGTGATTTAAGGGTAGGGTAGTATGTTAGATTTCCTTTTACTGATGGATATAAAGATGTTACCAAAGAAAGAGTTCAATTATTCCAGAATTATAGAAAGGGAAGGCTTTATTTTATGTTAATCAAGTCTCTTTGATTGTAAAAATGAAGTAGAAACTCAGTAATTTATTTATTGTTTTATCTAAGATAACACAGTTAATAGATATCAAAGACTACTGGAAACTACAGCCAAATTTTGAGGCTCCAAATCCATTTCCTTTTCTTGAGACCTTACTCCCCTTTCTTTCCTATTGCTCAATGACTGGTATGGTTCATATTATGCTAGTTACTGTGAAAGATACAGATAAATAAATAAGAGACCCAGCTTCTGTCTCAAGGAACTTGTACGTTAAATGCTAAAGGAAATTGGTGAAGGCAGTGAAGGCTGCCAAAGGAGGAAAGGTCATAATGAAACCGTGTGAATGGGGAGTAACCTTGAAGAAAATTGGCCTGAGAGGGGATTTTGAAGAATGTGTGGATTCAGAGAAGAGGAGGAAAAAGTTTCATTTCAGGAAAGAGTTGTATAAGCAAAGAATGAGAAATGACAATGAGTTCATTCTTTCTGACCTCCCTTCTTTCTTAGTATAATGCCTTTCAACAACTATTTGTAACACTTGATTCTAGTATAATACTAAATAGTGGGGTGGTAGCAGTAAGCAACTTTTTGCTTAAAACCAAGTAACTTTTAGAGATAGAGGTGTACTTATAGCAGAAAGAATCTGAGAGAGAAATTTGTGAAGTCATGTGAAGCCTAACATTGTGGGTTTGCTTGATTGTCTAGCTCAGCTGTGTCCAATGCAAGCATGAGTCATGCTTGAAAGTTGAGATTTCTGGTTGTCATATTTTTAAAAACTAAAAAGGAAGTAAAGTTAATTGTAAAAATATTATTTCAATTTACCTAGTATATTAAAAATATTTCTACATATGATCAATATAAAAGTTATTGAGCTGTATTATATTTTTTTGCATTTTTGAAATGTATATATTTTACATTAATGGAACATTTTATTTTCATTGTATTTCAGCTGGCCAGCAGCCTCATATAGCTAAGGGTACTGTATTAGTACAAGTATAGCTGAGTAATTATATTTTATAACTTATTTGGAACTAATTTCAAACTTATAAAATATTGCAAGATTAAAATAATGCAAAGAACATTTTTATATTCTTTGTCCAGATTCACCTCTTGTTAAAATTTTACCCTATTTGCTCTATCACTTGCTTATTTTCTTATTTCTTCTTTCTCTCTTCCTTCTCACTTTCTTCCTCTTTTTGTATTTTCTGAGCCATTTTAGGATCAGTCATAGCCCTCACTTGTGAATACTTTAAAGTACAGAAACATTTTCTTATAGCATAATTGTTGACTCTATAGATTTACATTGATTCTGGTTATATGGCACATGCCTGTAATCCTAGCACTCGAGAGGCTGAGGCAGGAGGATCACTGCATGTTTGGGGCCAGCCTGGGCTACATAGTGAGTTCAAGGTCAGCCTGAACCATATAGAGACTTTATCAAAAAAACATAATAGTAGACTGTCTTGGTTATTCTTTTTGTTGCTGAGACAAAAACACCT